AGCCCTGGGGGCGGGCGGGCAGCCGGTGCCCCCCAGCACCCTGGGGGGCCCCGGGACGTTGCTCTCCCTCCCGCCCCACAGCCCCAGCCAGAGCCCCGGGCCCCCTCCCGGGACCGAGAGGGTGATTTTGGCCAAAGCACAGACACCAAACATGCGCGCCGGTTGATTCCAGTCATTGAGGTTAGGGCACAGCAGAAAATACACTTTCCCTCCTTGTGAATTTTCCGGACCTGTCTCCAGCACCGCATTCTACTGCTGCGTGCCGGAATGATGTTATGCATAAGCTCAGCAGCTAGGGCTGTAAGCTGAGTAACTCTATTTCAGAACAGGGTTTGGTAATGTGCAATAAATCAAGATGACACACTGAATTAGCAGCTGCCACACTGTAAGCTTCTCTCACAGCCTTTAGACTGGCAGAAGTAAAAACAAAAAAATCAGAAAGGAAGTAAAAGGCAATAAGCTGAAAGAATGGAGTTGCAGTTACAGCGATTTAAAAATTCTGCGTGTCAACGCTGTTTACTTCCCTCACTGTGCCAAGCCAGCTGTACCACCACAGCATCGCTTCCGTCACTACGGGAGGATTCACGTCAACAGAGGTGTTCCCCTTACCGATGCTTTTACAGTAACCATTGCAACTCGTGCACAAATTAATCCCATGTGTTTGCAGACCTTTAAGGCAGTGTCCCACCCTGTTCCCGCAGTCCAGATCTGAAGCACGTGCACGTGTTACTAACGCAAATCACAACAACATCGAGATTTAAAAACAACAAAAAACCCGTAAAAATTCATCCAACTGACTTTGACTGTACTGTTCATTTCCAATGAAGGGCAGATGACTGGAAATTACAATTGTACCATCTATAATGTCACATCTAACACTTCATTTACTGAACGTCAGTAATTTCAGCTGATGTGCCCATGCGATGTCTGGATACAAGGTACGTCGCTTACACACACAATGGGAGCTTTAGAGCAGGACACTGGCTTGCTGCTGTTCTCCACCCAAAAGTTGGAGCTAACGCTACCTCTCTCATCTGGAATATTTCTATTTTCAACACTCACTAATGCCAACAACCACCACGGAGACATTAATAATGAATTAACTGGCCCATTTGTAAAGCCATTTGAGTGGTGTGAGGCACCTAAATCATGGTATGCATAGTCGAGCTGGCACGGCCAGAGATCAAACCCCAGTGTCCAACGGATCCTTCACCCGAGCATCATTGAGGAGAAGACGGGGTCACCAGGATGAGAGGTGGTTCCACGCCTGCACCCCCAGAGTCGTGGGTCCTAGCAGAGAGGGTGGAAGGGACAGCATCATGTCAGCTCTCTTCTGTGGACGTGAGTCCTGGGCATGCCCGGGGGAAAATCAGGCCTTTTGGTGTCTAGTCGTTAAGAGTAAAGACATGCACTGACATATCTGAGTGCATTATTTATTACTTGGAAGCCTGTTAAGGAAATTCATTCATAAAGAAAAAGATATTTGTAATTCAAAACTCTGCCCTGGCAATCAGTACTGTGAGTGCTGTGTTTCACAGAAATGCACATGCAGAATGGCTGGCAGGCTACAGATCAAAATTACCAGCAAATTAACTCCTGTTAATCATTAGGCATGTCCTTCCTGAGGACAAACCAACTAAGTTTCTCTTCTTCACTATCAAAATCCCCTGCTTCAGAGGGGAAAACCACGACACAATGATTCAAATATTCCTAATGCTAGAAACTAAAACTGCTCAAACCAGAGAAGAAATGTAAGAGCTTTAAAGCTGAATTAAATATTTCAACAAAATCTCCCCTTATTAAATCTGTTTGGTGACCTAAAAGTTTAGTGTAATCCACCAAAGAACACATAAGGCTTTGGTTTTGCTCATGATAAATTCTTCAGACTGAAATATGCAGGAAGAGTTACGCTCCTGCAAACAACTTGAAATCTTGCTTTAGGGGGACACGGAAAAATCTGCAACGATTTTTTTTGTTGACCACAGCATTTTGTCTGGCACTAAATCATGAAATAGATCACAAAGTCTGCTTGAGCTGACAAACACCTCCCCTCCCCCTGATTCAGTTTGCTTATTGGGATGAATTAACTCGCCCAACAGCCCCCTCCAGCCTCTGGTGGCTGCGGGCTCCTCCGAGCTGGCTTTCTGGTCACTCCACGTCCCACCGGCCGCGCTGCCGCCCTTGCGGCTCCTCCAGCACCAACCCCCACCAGCATGCTGAAGGCTCCTTTGCACCACGCTCCCCCTGCTCTGTAGCACCCAAAATCTTTGCTCTCACTCCTTAATACTCGGCGCCGCGTGGGCGAGAGGTCTGGGACGGCAGATTTGGAGAAGCTCTTCCCCCAGGGCTCGTCGGTGGCTCAGCTGGCAGCCCTGGGGGCGGGCGGGCAGCCGGTGCCCCTCATCACCCTGGGGGGCCCCGGGACGTTGCTCTCCCTCCCGCCCCACAGCCCCAGCCAGAGCCCCGGGCCCCCTCCCGGGACCGAGAGGGTGATTTTGGCCAAAG